CTGCTCTATGGCTTCTGGCACACCCTCTTTCCTAAGTCCTTTGGCCTCTTTCCTAAGCTTGCCCCTTTCTGTTTCCAGTCCTAGCCTTCTCCTTTAAGAGCATTCCTGTCAAAGGCATACCTGGACATATGTTTCAAGTGGTTTGTTTTGCTAATTACTTATAAATGATGTATGGTAAAATTTAAATGCTAATTCCCTTCTTCGATTCAGTTAGTGAATTCAAGGAATGTACATTTTTACATAGTCTATTTTTTAGTGTATTACAGACCTTTGTTCCATAGGAAAAGAAGAAACTGAGTTTCTAATATATTTAGCAGTGTATTAGGTTTGTTCACATACATTATTTCATTAACATAAAAATAGAATTTTACTGTTTGTAAACCCAGATTAGTAGATAGATACAGCAGACTTTTTTTTTTTTTTTTTGTCTTTTGAACTAGAATGACTGCCAATGAGCCAGGGAAACCCATGGACCTGCTGGGCTGTTATATCACATTCACAGCTCTTTGAAAACCACTTTTGAAATGAGGGCTGCTAAAAATGGTGACAGATGGTCTTTGCCCCATTCTAGAGAACAAAATAATGTGTAATTCTTTTTAAAGAATTACTAATTTAATTTAACTTATTATTATTAATTTGCTATAGGGCATATACATTTACCAGAGAGAGAGAGAGGAAGAAAGAAAGCAAGCCACCAGGTCTGGGACCAGAACCACGGTCAGCCATGTGGGAATCCACTCCCCAGATCACCGTGCCACCTGCTAGCCCCAAGTGTATGATACTTAACAGAAAGCAGGTAGCTTTTTTTTTTTTTTTTTTTTTTTTTTAATCTACAGAGAATTACCTTAGATGTGATTATGTTTATTTACTTTGTGTTTTGTTTGTTTAGTTTTTTGGCCTAAGGATCTTAATCTTTTTTTGTGTCATGGACCATTTCAACAATATGGTGAAACATTATGGAATCACTTTTTGGAATAGTGTTTATATATGTAAAAAAATAAAGTACATACATAAAGAAAATCAATTACACTGACATACAGTTATAAAAATATTTTTAAGTGTGTAATTTAACACTATATGTGTGCTTTTATTTTTAAAAACATTATTTATGTAGCTCCACCTTAAAAATTGACCAGAGAGAGACAATGAGAGAAAAAGTGAAAGTGAGGAAGCAAGCTACCAGGTCCAGCACTCGAACCACAGCCAGCCATGTGGGAGTCCAGTGGTAAACCACCGTGCCACTTGTTGGCTCCACTGTATATGTTTTTATTAACATAGTAAATAATGTTTTTATTACTATATATCAATGGTCTTATAACTATAATAAATTTCAAATGATCATGGGTTTAAACAATATTTTGACATTTTTGTAACAAGTATAACATGATATGAAAATATCCATGATTTCTGTTGGTGAAAACATCTATTTTTCTACTAAGTCTTCTGCTACTATTGTGGTTTCTGTTCTTTTTCAAAAAATTATTTATTTTAATTTTATTTATTCATTTATTTTAATTTGACCAGAGAGAGAGGGAAAGTGAGACTGGGAGCCACCAGGTTTGGGACTCGAGCAGTGGTCTGCCATGTGGGAGTGTCCAGTGCCCTAACCACCATGCCACCAGCTGGTCCCCTGGTTTATGTTCTTAATTGAAAGAAACAATGAATTCATCAAAGGTTCGTTGAAATAAAGATAGAATTTTTTTGGTTCAAATTTATAGACTCCCTAAATTCTATTATAGACCCCGCTTTAGAGATGTAAGTTCAGTAACTTGCTGTAGGAAGAGCACAATCTAAGCATAGGGCTTACCCACTGTATCCTTTTTTCTCTACCTTTCGATCCTGTCAGGATCCTGGGCATGAATATATGCCTAGTGTCTTGCCAATGGGGTGAAGACTCGATCCCTGGGATCCAGCCTCTTCTGCTGCAGTGCCTAATGCCTAGTGGCTGTGATATCAGTCTACTCACGGTCTCTTATGGCAGAATGTAGTAGAGTAGAATGGCTCAATGATCAGAACTGGTACAAGTGTCTCTTCTATCTTTTTTTTTCCAATTTTACCAGAGGGCATGTATACTCACTGGAGGGGGAGAAAGAAAGAGAAAGAAAAAGGATCCCTCCACCCATGGAGAATGGTCACACCACAGTCCTCCCCTCTACTTCCTCCTTTCCAGAGTTTGGGTGTGTATGCACATGTGCCTCATATATTTTTCAAGCCACTGGGTCCATGACTTGAATTGCACAGTTGGCCATGTGAGATCCAACTGCCTTAACCACTATGCCACAGGTTGACTCCCCTTCTCTGGTTTTTAGGATAATCCGTTTCCTGAAATAGTCTACTGTGTGGCCAGGTCCAAGTATAAACTTTATTTTACTCGAGCGGCTAACCCAGGGTCGGGCACAGAGTAAGTTCCCAATCAATGCTTATTTAACAAGGGTTTCTCTGAAGAAATTACAAGGAAGGGATCAAGTTCAAAGATAAGATCTTAAATGTAGCAATTTACAGGCCTCAAATATTGAAGAATAATATTAAACTCTAGTTTAAAAATAATCTGTTGAGTTGGCTCTATAACAGACATTGAGTGCTATGTGAGGGAGCCCAGTCCTTCATGGTTCACCGCAGTTTGAATCTCAGCCCTGGTGGCTTGAAAAGCAAACTATCAGGCACGTATGTGTCTGTGGGTGTTCCAAATTCTGATGGGCTGGAGAAGTGGAGGAGAAACGATTACAGTATGACCACGCTCTATTGGGTGTGCTTTCTTGTCTAGCAAACACACCTGCCCTCTGGCAAACCTAATCTTTCAATGTGGATAATGTGAAATTCACCTTTACATTTAGAAGTTCTCAAAGCAGGTGTTCTTCTGACTCATTCTGCAGAGTATGGGGATATGTATGGGCTAGTTGCATAAAGTGTAGTAATCCTGTATTAGAAAGTTAGAATGCAAAATCTTGAAATAATCTTATACCTAGCATTGTCTCCCACTTTAGAATGCAAGAATCTAGGTAGAATTTGCCACCAGTAACTTGTCTCCATCTAGGAAGGGAGTCCACAAACATTTTTGGAAAGTGCCAGATGGTAAATATTTAGGCTTGGTAAGTCATATTGTTACCACTACTCAGCTTTGCTGCTGTAGCACAAAAGCATCCATGGACAATACATGAATGAGGATGGCTGTATTCCAATAAAACTTCAATTACAAAGTCAGTGGGCCATCTTTGGCCTGCTAGCTGCAGTTTGCTGACTCCTGATCTAGGAGATCTGCAGGTTCTTTTGACTTAGCCATATCCTCCCTCAGGCTTCAAAAGCCATTACTCGGGAGTATTATCACTTCACTGTTGTCTTCAGAAAAGCCTGAATACACAGCAGATGACATGAGTAATGAATGCCAGAAGTATTAGGTGTTCTATAACCTTGGTGTCTTCAGAGGTTGCATCGTAGAGCAGGTCAAAAATCTCAAATATGAAGTATGCTTGTTCACTCAGCTTCAGAACTGGTATGCCAGTAGAAAAATGCTGAGTATAGGAGGGTCCTTTTCGCCAAAATGGCGCCGAAAGCGAAGAAGGAAGCTCCTGCCCCTCCCAAAGCTGAAGCTAAAGCGAAGGCTTTGAAGGCAAGGAAGGCAGTGCTGAAAGGCGTCCACAGCCACAAAAAAAAGAAGATCCGTACATCACCCACCTTCCGGAGACCCAAGACACTCAGGCTGCGGAGGCTGCCTAAATATCCTCGGAGGAGCACCCTCAGGAGAAACAAACTTGACCACTATGCTATCATCAAGTTCCCCCTGACAACCGAGTCTGCCATGAAGAAGATAGAGGACAACAACACACTTGTGTTCATCGTGGATGTCAAGGCTGACAAGCACCAGGTCACACAGGCTGGGAAGAAGCTCTGTGACATTGATGTGGCCAAGGTCAACACTCTAATCAGGCCTAACGGAGAGAAGAAGGCATCTGTGCGACCGGCTCCCGATTACGATGCTCTGGATGTTGCCAACAAAATTGGGTTCATCTAAAGCAAGTCCAACTGGCTAATTCTAAATACACATTTTTTCCACCATAAAAAAAAAAAAGAAAAATGCTGAGTATAGACTTTTACTGAAGAAGATAATGTAGGCCCACTTTTACTGAAGAAGATAATGGGGAGAAGCAAGAACAAAATGCAAAGGAAAAATCTATATGCCCTCTTTTGTTTATAGTTCTCAGTAGTAACCAGTCAAGTCTGAATTAGATTTTTGAAATTTGGATAAGTATATGTGATTGCAACTTGCTGCTGTTTAGTTCATTATGGTGTAGGAAGCAGTGCTCACTTTCTCTTTAGCTTGGAGTACTTGCTAAATACTAGCAATGAGGAAGCAGAATAGAGGGGATTCATAGAGGGGGTTAAATGGGAGTCTCTAAAACTTCTTATAGGAGCCTTTTGTCTTTAAGGGACAAGAATATGCATGCCAGCACATAGATTTTTATCTCCTTCAGGACGTTCACATTGTGAAAACACTTGACTAGATCTCCCCTTAGTATCTATTCACTGCTATCCCATCCCCTCCACAAACTCACATTTTCCATTTATTCTCTAGCAGTCATTTATCCAAGCAGCCATCTATTAGATCATTGAAGAACAAGGCAAGCAGTGTGTGCTGTGAGGTGAGTCAGCAGAGATGGAGCCAGATTTTGTGAATCCGAGTAAAAACCACAGGCACAGACATGACATTCTATATTTTGAGAGGAGTTTAGAGACGCTAATGCACTTAGTAGGCAGGGTGGTGGTGGTGGTGGGTAGGGTGGGCATTTATGTTCATAGTTAGAATCAGGGCTCAAATGGAGAATTGTAGTGACCAAGCTGTCTTTAAAACTATCTGACTAAATAGCAGCAGTGATGGAAAGGTCAGGCCTTGCAAATTAATGCTGCATTCTGCCTGTCAACCCCCTCATCTCTCTTTTATTATAGCTGTTTTGATAAAGGAGAATAAAACACTAAGGAAACAAAGTTTTGGCTCAGCCTAGGAGGGCTTATGAGGGAGGTTCTGCATTCTGGCTCCAACAGCTTTTCATTATGACTCATCCCTGCTTAATTAGTGTGGGTGCTGTGGGTGGATGCCAGGATCCATTTGGCATTAGGAAATCTACCCCATTTTGACCTTCTACTGTATTGGCTCTGAGAAGGTGCCATCATTTCCCAAACCTATCGCTCTTTGGAAAACAGAGATTAAAGCAGCCTGTATGTACACACACATACACACACACACACACACACACACACACACACATATATAGATATACTCACATATACGTACAAATATATGTGTATGTATGTGTACATATATATGTGTATGTGTGTATATATATAATTTTTTTTTGGAGAGGTTTTTTGCTATAGGGCGTGTACGCTCGCCAGACAGACAGAAAGAGACAGAGAGACAGAAAGCGAGAAATCACCCCCCAAGGGGGATGGTCATGCTGCAATCCCTTCTCCTTTATTCTCCTCTTGGGATCCTGGGCACGCACGCACACGCGCCCGGCGTGAGTTTTAAGCCACTGGGTCCAGGACGCGAACTGTGGTCGACTGCGTGGGAGGCCAGCGACATAGCCATTACGCTAACTGCTGGTTCCCATATAATCTTTAAAAATTAAAAAAAATTTTGTGTGTGCTTGCTGGAGAGACAGAGACTGAGAGAGGGAAGGTGAGAAATCACCCCCTAAGGGGGGTCAGTCATGTTGCAATCCCTTCTCCATTCTCCTCCTGGGATTTTGGGGATGCACACAAACACACCTGGTGTGATTTTCAAGTTGGAGGTCCAGGACTCACACTGTGATTGGCCATGTGGGAGTCCTACACCTTATCCACCATGCCACCTGCTGACCCCATATGTATATTTTTAACTCTCTTGAATGTAGATATTTAAAGCCACCTTTTTCAGGGCCATCACTGAACCTTTACTTGAATGGTGTTGATTGATTACAAGAATGAGGTTATCGTAAATGGAGAGTCTGAGGAGTATTATTCCCCACTGCTGGAGGTGTTCCAATGTTTAATGTTGCGAAGGCGGTATGGATAGAGGGGATGAATGGCACAGTGAGATGCTCTGCAAGACTAACACATATGGAAGGGTGCTGGGCACGTGCATGTCCATGATCCTGGGCTGGCTAGGGTGGAGTATGGACCCTATTGAGTGTTCTATTTGTCTCTCACTCATCGAGGAGATAAATAAATGTGCTTTTCAAAAAAGAAATAGTGTGATTTTAGGTACAGTTAAATTTGAGTATAATGAATTGAAAACACGATATTACAGTGTACCTAACCATCCTCAGTATGTCCTCATCCTCTCATGTACTTTCTTTTTCAAGCTCAGCGCAAGATTTCCTGAGGGAGCTAGAGATACATCCCATAGACATAATGGGCCATTGCCAAGGGAGGCAGGCAGCCCTGCGTCCTTCCCAGAGTTCCCTTTTATTCTGCTTTAGGTCTTTTGCTTATTCTGAAATAGGTGCCCTTAGACCTCCTTTGATTTGTTAATTTTTGTTTCTTTCAGGTCTTATGCTGTAGGAAGTTGAGTCACTATGCACACATCATGTCCTCACTCCTTAAAGTTTCTTTGTGTTCCAGGCTAGTCTCTGATCTATAAATGCCTAACTAAGCTTATCATTTCTAACAACTCCTAATAAATCCCCCCCTCAAAGGGTATTTGCTTTGGGGTATTGTAGTTCCTGCTGATGAGGCAATGTGGGGAAAGAGCCCCATTCCCTTGACTCTACCTGTCCTAGATCAATTCATAGAGCATGGAAATTCCCATAGCTGCTGAAATAGTAGTTGAGGACACTTGAGCAGTCAGGGTCATTAGGAGGGACCCACTATCAAGAGGACATGTGCTTGAGTATGCTGCTTGGGCAATCTGAGTTGTGACACCAGATATGTTAGGTTGAGAAATATGCAATCTGTTTCTCCCTGTCGCAGCAAAGTGAGAAAACAAGCTGAGCACAAGGTTTACTGAGGGAGATAGAGGTGCATTCCACAGATGGAACAGGCCGGGGCCCAGGGAGGTGAGCAGCCCACATCTTTTCCTAGTAGTAGTATTCTGGCCTTTCTGTGTACTTTCTCGGTAGCAAAGTTGTTGTGTCTAGGCAGCCATCTATTGGCTCATTAGAGAAACTTTTTCCATTGTTTTAAGCACAAATGGAATTATTTTATATGCTTTAGTGATTGATAATAGTATACATGAGAAAATAAGGGGATAGTCCAAGAGAGCCAATGGGAAATGAAAACCACTTGAGAGCCCTGTAATGTCAAAATTTAACAGTTAGTGGTAGATGTAGAGGAAAGCAGAAGATTAGTCTCTTTATAATTTCTAAATTGGGGTTCAATTAATGGAATGTCTGTGACCATGGTGTGTTTCATTTCCTGAGGAAGTGGATAAGATGAAGTATTTTATATTGAAACCCAAAAAGTGTTAGATATGCTCTGAATTCAGCAGATCTTAAGACCTCAGTTTAAAACCTAACATAAAAGATAATGTAGGGCCAGCCCTGGCAACATAGGTAAGGGAGCCGGATTCTACATCGCCGACCGTGGTTCAAATCCTGGCCCCAGGAGCTTGAAAAACATGCTAGGTCTCGGTGTGTGTGCATGAGTGCCCAAAATCTTGACAGGGAGACATGGAGGAGAAGGGAGTGTGGTATGCTCACGTCCCTTTGGGGGGTACTTTCTCCTTTTTTTTTTCTCTGTCTAGTGAGCATACATGCCCTTGGCAGTTTAAAAAAAAAGATAATATAGGGCCAGCCAGATAATGTGGTGGTTAAGGTGCTGGATCCCACATGGTTGACTCCACTGTTTGAATCCCAGACCAGGTGACTTGAACAACGCCAGGTGTGTGTGTGTGCATCCCCAAAATCCTGGAAGGAAAATAGAGGAGGGAGGGTTTTGTTGAGGTCATGTCTTCTGGGACATGCTTTCTCACTTTCACTCTCTCTCTGTCTCTCTCTAGAGCACATGCACCCTATAGCACACTAAAAAAACAAAAACAAAAACCTTCCAGAGACCATGTACTCTGGCCAGTGAGAAACAGAGAGAGAAAGAGAACGCATCTCCCAATGGGCTGTGGTCATTCGCCTTCTCCTCCACTTCTTTATCCTGTCAGGATTTTGGGCACATGTGCACTTGCACCCAGCATGTGTTTCAAGCTGCCAGGCCAGGATTTGAATCACTGTCAACCATTTGAGATCAGGCTCCCTTAACCACTAGGCTATCGGGCCAGCCCAGTACTTAGGCTTTGATATGTAATATCAGAAGAGGAAAAAGTCTCATTGTACTCTGCTTCTCTGTGATACTGATTAGACATCATTGATTTTACTTTTGGGATCGCAGTTTAAGTGGCAGATAGACACACTGCAAGTTTTAAAGAGGTTGAAGGATGGTGAGGGAATCTTTTATTTCCTTATTATTTTATTTATTCTTGGTAGAAAGTGTGTGTGCATACGTAAGAGACAGGGAGAAAGAGAAAAGCACTCTCAATAGCATCTGGTCACTGTGGTCCCTTCCCTCCAGCTTGTCGGAATCCTGGGCAGGTGTGGCACATCTGGTGTGTTTGGGACTGACTGGACTGGGTGTCCGAACCCATGGCTGGCTTCTGGGACTGACTGAAGCTGAGTATGTTACCAACTGCGCTTCTGAGGCTGGGCCTAGCGAGGGCATCTTGAACAGTTGTGGGCAATGTTTATCTGTGAAAGGCCGAGACTTCAGGAACACGATTATTGTATCTCCATGTATCAGAAGGGTCTGCTTTAGACGGGGTGTATATCTTTACGTTCTTCCCCAAGGGATGTACCAGTCCTAGTGGGTCAAAACTACCCATATAAACAGGCAGGTTTCATTCACTTGAAAAAGAATACCTTTTTTTAAAAAAGTTAATTGACCAGAGAGAGGTACTGACTTTTGACAAGGTTTTGCCATGGTGGGATCCTCTGCCCTAGCCTCCCGGATAACCAGGACTATAGGCACATACTGCTGTGCCCGGCCTGCCTAGCATGAGCCAGGAATCGAAGGACCTCTCATGTGACCTGATCTCAAAATAGCAGTGTCTTA